AGGTTAGCAAATGAAACTTATTACCTTCAAATTTAAAGGGTGCTGCACTAATACAATGCACATCAATGATTTTTAAAGCTGATGTTAAGTATGGCTACTGGCATGGGTTGTAGAAAGTCTCTATCAACTGGGCAGATATTTTCCTTCAAAGAATTAGGAATTTACTTTCTGGTGCATGCCATCTCCATTTTTGAAAGGCAAGGAAAATACAGTGGAAAAGGGGCAGTATAGACAGAAACTGAAATAATAAAAATGCAGTTTGAAGTTCTGTAAGAAAGAAGTTCATTGACAGGAGCTTTAAAGCATAAGATTGAGCCTATCAATGTTTCTACTATTAAGAAAACTTAAGTCGCTTTTCTTCCCAAACCAAATTAACACACTTACTATTTTTTTTCCCTGTGGGAAAAAAATGTCTGTTTAATAGCTCATATTAGGTGTCCCTTTTACTCCCAGTAATGTTTTCATAAGCCATCATATCTGACTCAACTTGCACTGCCATGCTCWAGGGGAAACTCCTGGTTTTGCTCTGTTAACAGTCAGAGGTGCTGGTGCATCTGTTCCCTGAATGAAATTCTGAAGTAGTGCTATTGCTAAGCTTTTCTTCTCCTGTAGTAAGGATAATTCAGGCAAGCCAGTCTTTGTCCAGGCTCAAAAAGCACTCTTAAAACTACTCAGTCCCATTCATGATGTCTCCTTGGCGATACACTAAAGACAGGTCTAAAATGCCACCGACATTCTAAACCTCAGTGGAGTAAAATGAAAATGAGGTCAAGTCTGGCAGCTGGATCAGGATCTAGGTTTTTGTGCTCTATGTAGCTCCAACTTTTCCATYCACTCCTTCCAGCACAGGAGCACTGTGACAAAACTGTGCTGCRATGCAGTGACTAGTGAATTTATAGTTGAGAAAAAAGAACAAACAAATCCAAAACATTGGCAACAATAGAAAAAGAAAGTTCCAGACCTCTCATATCTGTACATAAATAAGCTGTACAAATGTAGTTGGGCTGTAGTTACAACAATCTGTTCAATCAAGCTCCTGGTACCTTTCACTAGGGTTAATGAAAAAAACTGAGGTGCTCTCTGAAATTCTTGGCTCATGTGCCACTTTCCATGCCTGGTACAATTTTGGTTGTTCTAACTTTTGAACCCTTTCTTACTGTAGAGAGATTGAAGAGTCCCTCATTTAAAAGTGACACTCAGAAGAAAGTCAAAGGACATGTTAATGACAGATATTGGCTGCTCAAGAGTAATTCTATCCCAAAAACATAGGCCTGAGGCCAGTTTTGTAGCTAGACTAGACACTGAACTTTTGGGTGTTATGCTCACCAATGCCTGCCAGGATTTCTTGKAATAGTACAGAGTTGATCTCTTATCTAACTCATATGTATGATTTCCTGTTAATATTAGAGGATAGTACTCTCTGTGCTTTGAATGAAATTGTTCAATAACCTGCAATTGTTCAAATACAGATAGGAACAAACAACTGAGCTGGGGGAAAAAAAAAAGAGACTTGTGTTACATAATCCAGTTTATTACTCCAAGAGTCTGAAGAATTTGAATGAATACTGCACCAAGTCAGACCCTTGCTCACCTCTCCTTGACCATCAGCTTTGGTGTGCAGAGCAGAATCTCTTTGTTCAGAAGCAGGGCAAGAGCAGGAGAGCATCCTAATAAAATAAATTCTTGCAGCTCCCAGAAAGCTTCCTCTGTGCAGAGCATGGAGAGACTAAGGGACAGAGCATTAGGAGAGATCAAGCMAGTCCCAAACTAGGAACTGAAAAGGGGAGGAAAAGTTCTTCAGGAAGACTCTAATGAATGTAATCATTAAAGTTGTATTCTAATGAGACTGCAACTTGACTTAGGGCAACACTSTTGCTACTGAGTCCCAAGCTGGTATTTCAGCCCAACCATCTCCTCTGTCATACAGCAAACTGAAGTGACTTCTGGATTACACAGCTTAGGGAATGAACCCTTTCAGTCTCTGGGCCAGTATAATTAGCTGCTAAACAAAACTACTTGTTCCTGTCTCTGTAGATTCATCCCATCTTTAGCAGACCAGGGCAGCCATGGGAGAAGCCTCTGGAATTACAGTGGAAAAAATACTGGGATGTTTTGAAGGAGGTTACCTTCTTGTGATGGCAGAGGACTACAGTTTATCAGTGGTCCTTAATGGAAATGCTGAAAGCCTTGGCTGTGCAAAAGCACTGAAGCCCTGGAGAAGTGTGAAGAGGGTGGGTCAGTGCTTGAGACTTCCTGGAATAAATGATGTGTGAAAACAGAATTTGAGTGTGGGGAAGAAGGTTAAAGTAACCCAGCTTTGCTGAGTGCTTTAGATTGGTCACATGACTTGTGTGTTCTGCAGTTTCATGTAAATACCTGTCATAAAGCAAATCAAGTCTGATATGTTTCACCCTAAAATAAACCACAGCTTGACCCAAGGAAAGATACACACAACATTAGATTTGAACAGAGACTTTCAGGCTTTGAAAAGGTGCCAATGCAAAGTTTCCTGCATACCAACAGAWGAGTTAACTAAGAGCATAGTGAACAAGTGAAATTCTCAGGAATTGAACTTATCTGAGATTTTAAAATTGGCACAGAGCAGAATGTGAACTTCAAATCTATGGCTTCTTTGGTATGCAAAATGTAAATGAGATATGCCCTTTGCTTGTTCAAGTTGGATTTTGTTTTTAAGATTGGGGCAAAAATCTTATTGGACACAAAACCATTAAGCTACAGGTGATAAACATTGTTTAACAGGAAAACTTGCATCAGATTTCTATGTGTGTTCTGGTGTATGATTTAAAAACTTTGGTAGGCTAAGCACTAGATTTCATTTCTCGGACAAGAACACCTTTCCAATACTCAAAAGACTTGSCTTAAAAAGACTTATTGGGAGAGGAGGACAAGCTATCCAAAACTGCCTCTCTTTCTAGCAGGAAAGCTGTGTGATTTCAGGAGAAAGGGAAATTTGGGGTGAGAGAACACAATCTCTCCTGGGCTGATTTGCATCCCAAGGCTCTGCAGAGCTTTGTAAACCTTTAACCTGACAGGGCAGTGGAAGAAACTTTCCTGTGAACATTCTTTTTCCACTGTGTGGAGCTAGTGGTGTTATGATCTAATAGTTTTGAGGGTGGGGAATGTATTCTTTGTGTGGGACTGTAGCTGTGAATGCTGAAGTAAAGAAATACCAACACAAAACATTACCTGGCAAAAATGGGAAGATCAAAGAGTTCTGTATGCTCTGTCTCTGTTTTTCCASTTTTGAGGGTTTTGTCATCTTACCAAGCTAGACTCCTTGCTACTGCAGGGAGCCAAGTCCCTGCTGTGCTTCTGGTGCTCCAAARCTAGATGCAATAGGTAAAATCATCTGTTCCCATGTTGAAACTTAGAGCAGACAAGAGGAGAGCAGAGTGCTCCCAGAGGCTTTTTGGATAGGCAGAAAATGAACTTTTCCTGCTTCATCATAGCAAACAGGGTAGATCCACATATAAGACTTGGCAGACAGTGGAGAAAGGTGCTTGAGTGGCATTAAAATGTGATAAAATAGCTCTGGATCATGTAGGAGTGCTACTTTGGGCTGGCTTTTCTGGAATTTGGGTGCATATGTCTAGTCAGTCTTAAAAACAAAAGTAAATCTTTGGTCACAAATTATGCCTGATGTCCTCTATGGACGTGCCTTACAATGCACCTGGAAGTTTGTTGCAGACAGAAAGACATCTCTAGAATGCTTTGGGTTGGAAGGGACCTTTAGAGGTCATCTAGTCCATCTCTCCTGCCATGAGTTGGGCACCTTCCACWTGCTCAAAGCCCCATCCAGCCTTGCTTTCAACACTTCCAAGCATGGTGCATCCACAAGTTCTCTGAGCAGTCTGTCCCAGTGTCTCACTATTCTCATATTAAAGAATTTCTCCCTCATTTCTAATCTGAATGTTGCCTCTTYTATTTTAAAACCTTTACCCCTTGTCTTATCACTGCCTTCCCTGGTAAAACATCTCTGTCCATCCACGCTGCTGCCCTTTCTGTGCCACCTCCTTTGGTGAAAACTAGAAATAGAAAACCTGCAGTTACAATGCACCAGGGTTTCTCAGAAATTATTTCCAAGTCCTCTAGCCTTAACCCTGAAGTGCTGGAGTCTGTGCTAGGCATGGTGTCATTAGAAGATGCCTCCAATTTTACTTTCTCTTAGCACAGGCTTGCAAATGGAAGCAAACAGGCTCATTGCTCAGCTGCAATGGGGACAGTGTCACAGCAATGTCACTGCATGGGGATAGAATCATGGAATTGTTAGRGTTCAAAGGGACTTCTGKAGATCATCTAGTCAATCATGAAGTTAAAGCTGATACAAGCTGAGGTTTGCCTTTCCCCTGCAGACAGCAGTACTGGGCACTGCTCATGAGGTATAAGCTCATCCTGTAATTTGAAATGAGGAGCTATAGAAGCATAGACACACTTTCTGTTGTGGCAAAATGAACCAGGGAGATGTAGGAGGCTCCTAGTCACTTGTGGAAAGAGGCAATTGAATGAATGTGCTATAAAGATTATGAAGCAATGCCCCAAACAAGCGCTCATACTCACAAACACATCCCTCTCAGTTACTGTTTGAGGATTTCCTGAGCTTCTTCCCTGTYTGAGCCCAGTGCAAATCAGTCACTCCATCCAGCCATGATGCTGCCCATAGCCTGATTCAAACCTTTTGATTTCTTAGGGGTTAATCTGAATAAAGGACCCTTTCTTTTACCCAAAGCTCAGGCTGAGGACTGCTCTGCTGTCGGTGTAATGGAAGTGCTGGGTTACACTGGGTAGCTGGTAGATCTTGCAGTCCATAGGTTGATCTCCARGGAGTCATATTGGACAAAAGYTAATYATGTAAATATATTGTCATAGAAAAYAAAGTGTTCAGAAAGATTTTTAAGTAGCTTTTTTTTTCCCCCATGGTTTTTGGAATTCTAGTTCTTTTRGTTTTCATCCTCAAAGAAGAAAATAAGTCATGTGATGCTTCATTTGWTTTTATTTTAGTTTTAAGATACAGCTGTGCACAGATTATAGAATACRCTCCCTGGACCGAAACATGACCAGAGAAGAATACAGGTTAGCAGCTACCAAAGGTGCTTTAAAATATCACCTTAAATAACCTCGAGGAAGGAACAGTTCTTTCAGTTCTTTCTTCATGGTGAATCATAAAGAAGAGAAGCCAAGGGAATTTTTTGTGGATAGATACTCAGTTTCATTATACATCGGGTTTTATGAGTAGATTTCACTCAACAGTTACATTTTAAGTGTTTTTGAATTTGTGTGAGAGAACCATTAAAACAATAAAAGGAAATATCTCCCCAATCCACCATTCTTCTGTTACACCACCCATGAATGGACTGGGCATTCTTTTGAGTGATCATTTTTCTCCACTACTTTATACGAGCAAGTCTTCTGGTTGAAAATGCTTTCACACTTCTCTTCATCGTAGTCAACTGGTGTAATATAGCTGTCGTTGGAAAAAGAAAAAGAGGTGATGAGACCAAGAAGTAAGCAGCTTCCACCTCAGGTGATATCTGCACCTTTGATACAAAGAGACTCTGTTGAGACTTTTGGCAGCAGAAAAGGGAACTTGCCCAAAGCTCCTGGCTCAAATGTTACTTAGCCTGCTGCTTAAGCAGGATGAGGGGAGAGTTGTAGTGTTGCTGGTCTGATTTACATCCAGGGGATGTTTGTTGTATTTATTTGCTATTCCAATATCTCTGATTTTTCTCTTCACCCACGAAATGGAACTAATATTGCACGAGTGCTTGTGTATCGCTATAGGAAAAATTACAGACAGATCAATGTATCTTGAGTTGCTTCTCAGAGGCAAATGTGTGGCTTTGGGAAGATCTGGACTAGGATCAATAGAAATTTCTTAAGTAACTGTGTTTAAATTTKCTTTTTGTTTGAAATCAAAAATTATTTGTTGAACATGGCCTCTAGTTTTTTAGAGGAATTTCTTGCATGTCCACTGGTGATGGTGTTGGATTGATGCAGGACTTTGTGATAGGAAATGAATGAGAGAAGAGTTGTGGTTATTTCTCAGGAAGTCCTGTGTAAAAAGAAGTGGTTTTGCTGTATCAGATGGCAGCAGAGGAAAAACCCCCACTGCTGTCTTGAACTCACCTAGTGCAGCATCTAATTCCAGACTTGGAACAGGAGCAAACATTGCAGTTGTCAGTCCTCCAGTCAGAACCAAATTTATGGACTTTTCCTTCCTTATCAAGGCAGCCTGAAAATGCAGTGTGTGAGCAGATTTCAGTGTCAGAGCTATTGCACAAACAGCACCATTGTGTGTAGGAAATGGGTGGGATCCTTGTTGGCTTTTCGCATTATCATCCCCATCTGCTAAACACAGAGGTTCCTCAACAGTGCAGGGTGTCCTATCCTAATGCATGGAGCAGAGTGACCTGTGTCTCTCTGTCTCCTATGATTAGCAGCAATCAGGTTTCCTGGAGCAGTTCATCTTCCAATATGGAATTTGGAGCACCCAGCAGAAAACAATGAGACCAAGACCTGGTCAGGATTAAAAAGGGCTTTGGCTTTCCTGCTTATTAACACTATCTCTTGCTGATTCCTCATTTAAAGTAAGACAACACCTGTCTGGAAAACTTTTCCCAGTCCTCAGCTRCAGGAAGAAAGCAATTACTGGATATAAAGTTCCTTTTCAACAGTCACAGAATAGATCTCCTAAATAAATGATCTGTAAAGCAGGATTTTATGAGAACAGAACAAGAGAGAGTGGTGGGGGTTCCAGTGATGGTTGTGTCTTTGCCTATAACTGTTCTGTTTCTTTGGCAATGTTAACTCATTGCTCCAAGTAGTATCACCAGTTTTCCCAGATAAAGCTGTGTTTTAGAGCACTTGGGCGTTTTTTTGCATAATGGCACAGATCAGCTCTTCTTGTGTCCAAATAATTGTACACTTCTCTTTTGGGAATTGATTTTCCTGCAGCCCCACTCGTTTGTGGGCTGACAGACTTGCTGTGTTCAGAAGAGCAGATCCAGACCCAAGGGAAGCAGCCAATTGCTTTGGGACACAGAAACAATTCATGARTAAATTGTGTGGTGCTGATACTTGGAAATCTGTTTCCTGTTTTATCCTGACTGCACACACTTACGTGCAGGT